AATAATGGACAAGAGTAGAAATCAGTTATTCAAACATCTATAGGAGCCAGTCATTGAATGCAAATGAGTAAAATAGCCTGGAGGATATAAAGAATGACAGCTGTGATATACATAGGGTCCTGGACAAGTAATGTTGATCTTATCTTTTTAGGAAAAGCTGAAAAATTTTATATTTATTTAAAAGCTCATCAATTTTAAATGTTCTAAACTGAGTTTTAAAGAGCCACGCTCAATTATATCTCTAATAAAATTATCTTCCCAAAATTAGGCTATTACTTAAAAGAGGCCTCTCTGTATCTATTAGTAGATAAGATATCCTGGGGAAACATTATATGCTATCCAAGTGCAGAAATAGTATCTCTTTGGAAATAAGTCGAGTTAGCCAGAAATTACAATTTCTGGTCTTGTATCTGCAAAAGACTTTGTGAAGCCTTTTCTCATTTTGACTTAGGGAGGAGAAATTCTATTCCCTGCTCTGGAATTAATTGGGATTACAGAGTGAGGGTGAACCATTTATAATGCTTAAGCAGGGTACTATACTGGTAGTTATTTACATACCAGGGGTGGGGAATGTCTGGCCTGTGGACTGTATAAGGCCTATGAAATCATTTGGTCTGGCCCTGCCAAGGCTTTAGGGGTGAATTAATTAAATGTTTGACCAAATATAGCAGGCTAATTTTTAAAGTGATAATTTTCTATGGCCCGTGAATGATGTTATAAATACCCAAATGGCCCTTGGCCAAAAAAAGGTTCCCACCCCTGAATAAGATCTCTATTCTGAGGATAGCACTGTAACATTGTCTCACTGAAAAAATAAGATTCAAAAGACATAATTTTGACCCATATATTTTCAAGAAACAAACCAGTTTGCTCATTTGATTATACTGGTGGTTCTTTAAGTCCAGTCCCATGAGGGTCCCCGAGGCCCTTTCAGGAGTCCAAAGGCCGAATTATTTCAATAACAGTACTATGACATTTGCCTCTTTCACTATGTTGACATTTTCAATAATGATACAAAAGCAATGGTGGGTTGGCACCTTAGTGCAGATTGAGGTGGTGGATCCAAATATATGAATAGTCCTTGTATTATTCACTATCATGCACTAACAGTTAAAAAAATTTAATAGTTTCAAAAAAGAAAAGCTAGTTTCATTTAACATTGTTCTCAATGAAACAGTAAATACTAATTTAACTTAGTTTAAACTTGTCCCTTGAGTCTGGCAAAATGAGTAGTATGAATACAATACTGCTGTTCCATATCAAAGGATGATGATTGTCTCAAGGAAAAGCACTTATGCAGTTGTTTGAGTTGCATGCTGAACTAGTCAGGTTTTGAACAGAATACCATTGTTACTTGAAGGAATGAAAGAATACTGACAAACTGTGATTATTCAGACTTAGATATTCGGCAGACATTTTCTCGACATGAATGAAATGGGCCTGTCAATTCCAGAAAAACAGACAGGAATTGTTGTTTTGTCAAAGATAACTTTTAAACACAAATCAGAACTGTGGAAAACACATAATACTATGAGTTTGAGAGCTTCCAATACTTCGAAGTCCTTTTTTATGAGCTTGGTGGTTATATTAATGAAAATGGTTTTTTAATATAAATAATGAAATATGTCAACACTTAGAAGAACATATATTATTTAAGTTACCAAGAAATGTGTTACAAAATTATACCTAAGTTCATACAAAGTTCAAGCCAGGGCAATGGATTATAATATATCAAAGTACTCAATGGTCCTGACAAAATTTTTGATTCCATCCTTCAACTAACTTTTAAAAGAAAATTGTAAATTTTTGGTGTAATTTCAAAAAATACCCATAATTATCTGAAAATACTATTAAAATCATCCTTCTTTTTCTAACTACATAACTGTGTGAGGCTGATTTGTTTCTTCATATTCTTCAACAAAAACAACATATCACAACAGACTGAGTACAGAAGATGTGAGAATCTGGCTGTCTTCTATTAAACCAAACATTGAAATATATTTGAAAAAATGTAAAGCAATGCCATCCTTTTCAGTAGATATTTTTGTTTTGGAAAACATTTTTTTTTCATAAAAATGTTATTTATGTTGACATATAAAGGCTTATTATTCTTATTTTGAAGCAAATAAATAAACATTTAAAATTTCTCAGTTTTAATTTCTTGCACAGTAGATATTACTAGGTATAACCACATAAACAAATGCTATCTGGTGTCCTTAATAATGTTTAAGTGTGTGAAGGCGTTCTGAGACCATTATGTCTGAGAACTGCTGACTTTGACAAATAATCTAGAGAATATTATTCTCAATATCCATCAGATGGGGCAATTAACTTTTTATAAAATAACTTACATTTTTATGTTTAGAAAATGTACTTTTGATGTCATTAACTCAGTGTTTTCCAACTTTTTTTGGTGTTTGTAGAACCCATATTTCTATAATGTCAATTATAGCTGAATAGAGGTTGCTATATCAATACTGATTTAATTTAAGACAAAAGCAAAGAAACTTAATGTTTAGTATAGTCTTATTGATTTTGTGTATGCTCTTATAAATAGTGAAAAATAATTTGCAGACCCCAGCTAGTACCATGACCTAGCAACAAAGATTCTCCAGAGACTTGGGAACCTCAGGTTTACAACCAATGAACTAGCCATATCATATAATTACACTGGTGCTCACAAAGAAAAGTGGTAATAATATGGAATAGTTTGTAAAACTAACTTCACTAAGAAAAAAATCTCAGAGGGAATATTATACTGATACTGGATCAATAATGCCGGAAATCACATTGTTTTCTAGACAGACCCAATGATTGAAAACTGTGAGTTAAAAAATATTTATTATTTATCCAGAGTAATCTAAATTCTTATGTTCAGAGGATAAAGGAAACTTATAAAAAATTAATAATTATGCATTTTGTTTGAATATAAGATTAGACAGTGTATTCTTCATGTCCTTAGTGAAATGTTACTCCTTGGCGAGGTCTTCTCTGATCATTCTAAGTAAGGTTTCCCTCCTATTATTTTCTATCACTACAATTTTTTCATTTCTTCTTGCATGAATTTCAACTTATAATTATGAAGTTATTTTAAAATTATAGTTGAATAATTTATGTTTATCTACCTATTTATTTTATTATACCATCGACTAAACTGTCACTGATACAAAAGCATATATAATTTAGATTCAATCAAGAAGTCTTATAATTTAAAATATTTAATAGAAAGATTAATTTGACTTTCTTCACTCCTTTAAGAAATCAATATTCAAACTAGTTTTTTATTATATTAGCATTCTGATTCAGCCTTAACAATTTAATTTTAAAATTACACTAAAGCAATAATTTTATCTTTGAGATATACATTATGATGCTGGTAAAAATTATCGAAAAGAAACACAATCTTATTCCTAGATAAAAGTATAGAAAAAAATTCCTAGGAAAAAAGATATTCACATACACTGCTTTATATGAATTCATTGTCAGTTTGAGCATGTAAGTGTTAATTAAGAGAAAAATGTCAAGACAAGCCACTTGCTCTCCTAAAGCTTTGCAATACGCACATTAACTTAATAAATATCAACATTTTTATTTTTAGGATTTCACCTTAGTAAACTTGGAAATACCAAGTGAATTTTAAAATTGGATTTAATATTCAGTTTGTAATTAAAATATAATTACAACGTTTTAAAAGGACTAAGAACTAGTATGTATAATTAAATTATGCTTAAAATATTTATGTTCACAGTATATATTGTTAAGGGGGAAAAATGCTGTATCTTGGATAGCTCTTTATTACCAAGATTTGGATCTTAATATGTGGTGAATGGCTAAACATTAATAGTGACCTTAACTTTCAGCTTTAATTATTTCCCAGATTTTATAAATGAATACAGCTTATACAATTAGAATTTAATGCAGCCAAACGATAAATTATTTTGATTTAAAAACTTAAAAAAGACATGAATGAGATTCATCTATCCAATTTTAGTCTAGAGAACTCAATGTTTTCATTCAGTGAAGATGTAGTTGATTATCATCCAAATGGCATTAACATACATTTCATGCCTAGAATGTGCTTACAATTTTTCTTCACTGAAGATTTAGGACCTGTTTTTTTAAACTATAAAAATAATATGTTATTTTTGATACAAGTCTAAAAACAATGATATACAACATTAACACTGTGAAGACTTTGCTAAGAAGGTTGTACCATGGAATGTAAAAGCAACTGCATTTTATATCAAGAACTGCTTGAGATCACTTCTAGTTAAATCCAATTACAACACTGATAAATTCAGAGAAGTTGAGAAAGAAATTGAGAAAGACAGCTATGTAAGTTCTTAAATTTGATATAGAGAAAAAGTCACAATTTGAGAAATTACCTGCAGAGCCCTAGAATAAATTCAGTGTACAGATTGATATCTAACACCATATCCTATTAAGTAAGAAGAAATTTTACTCTTAACCTTTTGATGCCAATATTGGATCCATTCCATAGAAAACGTGATAGCACAAATGATTATCTTAACCAGAGAAGGGAGATTCCAGGAGTAAGCAGTCATAGCCATAATTAAGTTTGCTATTTAATTTATCATATACATTGAAGATGTGAGGCAGTGAATAAATATCTAATACTCTTTCCCCCATACACAATTCAGTACTTGGGAAAATTATAAAAAATAAATACTAAGATACTTCTTCCCTCCCCCAAAGGTTGGCATTAAAACTTTCTTTCTAATCAATTTAGATGTGTTTCCAAATATTAGGCAGCAACATTCCAAGTTGGATATGTTTGAAAAAATTTGGAATGATACTAGAGCAGGGAGCTACCCCAGACTGGACAGGTTAAAAAAAAACACACCTTTTGGTAATATTATTTTATTTTGGCCAAAAATGCATTGATCTGCATAAACATGTAACTCCACATCTATACTGATGAGTATGCTAAGAAAATAACAAGTCTACAGCAAAGTAATAGGAGCTACAGAAAGTGATACCTGATGTAAAAGTAGACATTTTGCATGAAATTTTTATTGTCCTTCTGTTGGCCTAGTATGACAATTTGTGAAACAGTAGGTGGTAACTATCTTACAGTCCATTAATTTTTCATTGTATTTATCATGCATGAATCCGACCTTGACAAGCAGAAGAAAATACTGGTTAGTTTTCCCAGATTCACATCATAGCCACAGTACCAAGGGACTGTACTTACTTTTGGTGTTGGGCAGGAAGCAGTAGAAAGGCGAGATGTAGCCTGAGCACGAGGCGATTCTGAAGGAGTAGTGCTGAGGGAAGCTGTGTCTCGTGGGAGCACCTGAACGCCACGAGAAATTATGGAGTCTGGAATCTGAACAAGGGGAATATGCATGGTTTAATATTCTAAAAATACTAACAGCATATAAAACCAATACCCACACCTAACTTGTTGTTGGATGGGGACGTTCTTTTCTTCTCATATACTGTTAGTTATAAAAGTATCCAACAATTTGACGTAGAATAGAAACCTCAAGATTCAAAGTATTTCCCCTGGCCAAATACTATTTTATTAAACTTCTTTATGAGAGCTCTTAACCACAATTGCATTGTGGTCAGGAGTAAAGTGTTTGGCATTCATATACTGACTCTGTAATTTAATAGTTATGTATTTCCCAGATATTTTCCATTTCCCTTTCAGATTCATTTTCCATCCTTCTTCACCCTCTCTACTTTAAACTGACTTGTATAGATAGAATCAACAAGATATCCTGGGCTTCTGGTTTCCAGTTGGATTCAGCCAATGGGAGGCACTGTCAGGAAACTAAAGGAGTGGAGGAACATAAAGTCTGGTATTTATTCCCCTGGCTTCTTCTCTACCAGGTCAATATAGGTTAGCTAGGATCACAGCCATGTCAGATGACACTTGCTTATAGCTCTTTTCTGGATTGTAATAGCAGCTCCCTTCCTTTGCTCCATTAGGACTATCCACTATTATGAGTCCCAGGGCACTGCATTATGTCTGGTTGCTTCCCCTAAAATCTGCCCAAACCTTTGTAAATACCATAGTCCTTTATTAAACTCTTCTCCATTTAAGTATGCTATGACTTCTGCAGGGATACTGATGACTATATTTTTCCGTTTTTTAAAAAATTGAGAAGACATTAGTTTTATTCATACCAGAGGAATATATTTTTCTAATCATCATTTCTTTTATCTAAAAAATGAAGACAATGATAGCATCTACCTCACTGGATTACTGATGAGGATTAAATAAGATAGTGTATTTAAATTATCTAGCACTTCCAAGTAGTAAACACTTAATAAATGTTGGCTATTATTATTATTATTAAATTATTCCTATCAACATGGTAAAGACTGATGTAATTGAGAATCACCATTCTAAAAATATACAAACATAAGGGCAAATAATGTGAATTATTTATTTTAAAAATCATTAATATTTATGTTGATTATAAAATTTATTATTTGGGCCTATGCATAATTTAGTTCATGTTCTGGGCTACTACTAATGGTATAGTTCTTCTATTCTCAAAGTGAAAATGTGACTACTTTCAAGTTTTGTGCACAAGATGGGAACAAGGTGATATTCAAAGAATATACCAAGAGAGATAAAGGGGAAAGAAACAGACACTAAATAGATGGGATAGTCATTAGTGGTCTGAGAGAGAGCTAATTCATTATTTCATGAAGATAAACACTTGATTATAGGATATAAAGAAAAAAGATGAATGTAAGAAAAAGGAGGCAATGAATATGGATTACTCTGTTGATGAACATTTCTATTATTTTCATTTTGGAGACATTATGAACAATGCTACATTCTTGTTAATATATCATAATTCCCACATGCATTAATTCTAGCACATATACATATACTCGGAACAGAAGTACTGTTATAGGGTATAAATACCTTCTTTTACAAATTCCTAAATTGGTTAAGCCAATTTATATATATCACAAAAGAATGGTAACAATTGCTCTTATTCCACAATTTACCTCTACCTAGTATTGTATTATTAATTTTTGTCAAATCTGGTAGGTAGTATGGTGGTTTTAATTTTTCTTACCCTAATTATTAATGAGGGTAAACACCTTTTCATCTTTATTAGTCATTTAGATATTCTCTTTTGTAAAGTCCCTGTTCAAGTCTTTTGCCCGATTTTCCCTTATTGGGTTCTCTTTTATTGAATTGTTATACTTCTGTATCTATTCTGAATAACTAGTCTTTTATCAGTTTTATATTGTGTAAATATATAATCCTACTATGCAGATTGTCTTCTTCCTGTATCATGTCTTTTTATGAATATAATCTTTTTATTTTAATTTAGTTAAATTTATCAATATTTTCTTGTATAGTTAGTAGTTTTTGTGTCTTCGAAGGAATCCTTTCTAAGTGACAACAGTGGAAATGGCAGAGTAGAAATGCCAAAAGTCCATCCTTCCACTAAAGAGATGAATAAACTAGCAATAATGTCAGAATCAACTTTACCAGAAATCTAGAAACTAATAAAAGTTTACTAGTATTGTAACCAGGAGAATGCTTAATCAATTTAAAAAAACCCTACTGATCCCCCAATACACAGCTCAATGAATGGCCTTGAAGACACAGCCCACAATCCTGGTAAAGGTTCTTACAAATGAAGGAGAACAAATCTTATTCTAAAAAATTGTGGTTGTTTGTTTCAACATGTCTGGTGGTTCACTGAAGGACACACTTGAAGGGCTGCCTTTATTTCCCCTGATTTGTAACATTCCCAGAGCTCAGGCAGCTAACTAGGGAAAGGGGGGGGGTGGGGAGCACAGTAGCTGTCAAAATCTACTAAAGGGGTTCAGCAGCATACTTGAATAAGAAGAAAAAGAATTAATGAACTTGAAGATAAATCAATTTAGAATGCCCAGTTTTAGAAGCAAAAAAAAAAAAAAAAAAGAAAAGTAAACAGAACTCAAGAAATCTAAGGGACACCAATAACTGTACCAAGATATGCGTAATGGGAGTTCCAGAGGAGAGGAAAGAGGCAGGGATAATATTTGAAGAAATAAGGCACCCAAACTTTCTAAATTTGATAAAGACAAAAAGCTCAACAACCCCAAGTTGGATAAACTCAAAGATTTCTAAACCAAGACACATCATAATCAAACTTCCGAGAGAAAAAGACAAAGACAGAATCCTGAAAACAGCAAAAGAGAAGCACTCATACAAAAGATCCTCAATAAGAATAACAGCTGATTTCTCAACAGAAGCCATAGGGATCAGTAGGCAGTGAAATGACAAACTAAAAATGCCAAAAATTGTATATCTGGCAAAATACTTCAAAAATAAAGGTTAATTCAAGACATTCTTAGATAAACAAAAACTGAGAGAGTTCAATGCTAGTAGACCTGCCCTACAAATAATGCTAAAAGGAGGAAGTCCTTCAGGCTGAAATGTAAGGACATTAAGTAGTAATTTGGAATTCATATGAAGAAATAAACAACACTGGTATTCTGCATAGGTAAATATAAAAGTCAGTATATAGAGTGTATATTTTGGTTTGTAAATCCATATATATATATTTGTTGCTTATATAATTTAAAAAGACAATTTTAGCGCTAGCAGGTTTGGCTCCATGGATAGAGCATCAGCCTATGGACTGAAGGGTCCCGGGTTTGATTCTGGTCAAGGGCACATGCCCAGGTTGCAGGCTTGATTCCCGTGCAGGAGGCAGCCAATCAATGATTCTCTCTCATTATTGATGTTTCTCTCTCTCTCTCTCTCTCTCTCTCTCTCTCTCTCTCTCTCTCTCTCCCCCCCCTTCCTCTCTGAAATTAATAAAAACAAACAAACAAACAAACAAACAAACAAATAAAAAGACAATTCCAAGTAAAAAGTAACCAAGAGAGCTGGAATGGCTATAATAATATCAGAAGAAATGGATATTAAGCTAAAAACTATTATAAGAAATATTATATAATGATAAAAGTCAATTTATCAGAATATATGACAATTATAAACTTACATGCACTTAACCAGAGCCCCACAATATATGAAGCAAAAACCGACAGTATTAAAGAGAAAAAAAAGTTTAACAATAGTAATGGGATATTCCAATGCTCAACTTTCAATAATGGTTAGAACAACTAGTTAAAAGGTCAAAAAGTAAAACAGATGACTTGAACAGTATAAATTAATTAGACCTAACAACCATATAGAGAACAATCAGCCTGATAACAGTGGAATATACATTTTTCTTAAGTGAATATGGAATATTTTCCAGGATAGATAAAATGTTAGGGCACAACATAATTTTCAGTAAAATATTAAAATCATAAAATGCATTTTCTCTGATTATAGAAATCAATACAGGAAGAAACTGGGAAATTTACAAATATGTGGTAATTAAACACATTCTTAAACCAATGAGTCATGGAAGAAATCATAAGGAAAATTAGAAAATACTTTGATATGAATAAAAATGAATACATAACAGGGGGCTTCTGGTCAAGATGATGGAGTAGGTAAACATGATACAGGCATTCTCCCATACCAGTTCAAAATTATAACTAAACTACGGAATAACATAATTGAAAATGGCCTGAAATCTAGCTGAACATAAGTCCTATAACTAAGGATATACAGAAACCACATGGAGACTGGTAGGAGGGGCATAGACATAGAACAGGCTGATCTCATACCCACATGTGGTGATTAAAATGGGCAAAGTTATCTTGGCTGCAGAGATATCCCCTTGAGGAGCAAGATGTCCCAGCCCCACACCAGGCCCCTCAGCCCAGGGTTACAGTGCCAGCAAAAGAAGTCCTCATAAGTTCTGGCTGTGAAAACCAGTGGAGAATGTGGCTGTTAAGAGTCCCAGGTGTTTCCCTTAAAGGGCCCATGCACAGATTTACTTGGACTTATTTCCTCTGAGCTCCAGCACTGAGGCAGCAACTCGAAAGGTGCCAAGGATATGTGGGAAGGAACTGAATTGTATGGCATCAAGGCGAGGGCTGGCGGAGCAGTTCTCCCAGATGGAAGTTCTGGAAGAAACTACTGTTCTTTGCAGAGCC